TTCTTGAGAGTTTGAGCGGGACAGTTTAATTGTTTTACCTTCAATCAACTTCATATGTAAAACCATTGAGTCAAGTTAATCGATTTGCCTTGGAATGACATGAAGGGATTGTGTGGAACCCAATATGTGACCTCAAAAAAATTACTTTGCTGTTTCTTTAAACTACTTATTGCAAATGAGCTGAAAGATCACAGTTCTTGAGTTTTTGAGGGGGGTAACCTAATTGTTTTATGTTCAATTCACTTAAATTAGCACAAAAATCTAATAATCTGATCTAATTCCTTCATGTTGTCATTTTTGCAGTGTATCATCATCATAACCACAGCATAAACTGTAGATTCGTTCTTTGTAGATTTGCATTGTTTTTGACCCAGTTCTCTAGCAGAGCTGCGCAATTTCGCCGTTTCAAATGACTGTCATTTCTAACACAGCACTGTCATTACTTCACAATGACTGACATTTATTTGCCAAGAGTTTGATCTCTTTGCTATTATTTTTTATCTGACATCTCTTCGCCCCTCAGACTGGTCTCTGTCTACATTTGTGGACGGGTGAAGGCAAATGTGGACGTCTAACCTCCTATGTTATCTGACATCGGGCCGGTTTAATTTACAGCGGGTCGAGGAACAGAAAGTCAGCCCTCCGTGATCTTTTACAGGACAAAAGATGAGGCTTTTCCAGCACAGGCCACACGGCTTAACTTGTGGGATTTACACAATAGCCTTTCTTTCATTTGTTCCTAAATCTGAGGCTTTGACAGACAGGCCAGCTTTATTCTGTGTCTCCAGTGCTGTTTAATGCTGACGATACTCTGGAGACAATTAGGAAATCTTTTCCCATGCCCCAGTGTGACATCCATGGACTTTTAAGGTAGTCTTAATTACAGACATCCACTAAAACTTGACCATATCATTCATGCTTTGATATTTACACAGTTTTTACAATAGTTTTTTCATGGACTTGTCAATCTTGACATTTTGGCCTTCTTTTTGTTTTATTTTTTTTTTAAATCTGAAATATACACATGTTGTTGCTCTTTTTCGTGTATGATTTCAATTACAATTGAAGTTCAGTGAAAAAAATGCTGGGTTCCACACAATTTCATCATGTTGTCAATTAAGTTAACCAAATTGTTTTTAAAAAACGAAGTGGATTGAACTTAAAACCATGAAGTTGTCCCCCAAAAATATCAAGAGTTGTGTAGATTCAGCTCATTTTAAATACGTACTCTGAACAAGCAGCATAAAAATGACTTCTGGGTTGCTTTAAAAAGAGTTCCTAATTACTGATTATTAATTAATTACATAATTCCAATTGTATCTAAATTAGGGCTGCACGATACTGGGAGAATATGCGAAACTGCTGTTGAATATTGCGATACCAGTCTGTCTTACATTATTCAGATGTGGCTACTGAGAATGCACGAGTGAATGAATGTGACCATACGCAGTGCTGCAGTAATGCGTTGCACAGCACATAATGGAGAATTGCTATTTTTACTATTAGTTATGCTTTTAAATCATTTATTTATGTTAGGATGTTCAATTAAATGTGTACAATTTTTTTTCAGATCTAATTAGTTCTAGATCTGACAAACAAAAAAACTATGTCAAGGTGCATTTAGTCTTTAAAACATGAGCAAAAACCTCAGCAGATATTCTGACTCTGATTGACTGTTGTCATTTTCTTCTCTCTCATTTGGACTCCCACTATTAGTGTTTATTTTCAGTTTTGGGTTCGCCTTTAAACCACTCCAGCCATAGCTGAACAGCAGCTATTGGGGAGGCGGGGATAGAGAGGCCCCATCTAATTGGTCTAATTTAAATAGACAACTGATGAATAATGTAATTTATTCAGCCTGATCTCTTGAGGAAATTTAAGTATTTTACGTTTTGTCAGTTTAGAGGCTAATTCGTATGAATTTGTATGAGTTCTGTCGTACGAAAATGTGCAATTTTTAAAAAGGAGGTGTGGCACCAAACCCAAAACCTTACTGTCAATTGGGAATAAGGAAATCGTACTAAACTTTATGAATGAGATCATACGAATTCATAGAAATTAGCCACTATATCAAAAAGAAACTAATTGCTGTGAGATTGTGTTGAATTTATCACACGTCTTCCATACTTGTATTGCATGCTACTATATCTAAATATGTAGTACCTCCTGTTCTTGTTGTATTGAATTAAAAAGTTTTTTTTTTTCAAATAATGAAAATGATACTATTGCAATATATTTACTTTTGTAATTTGTATGTCTGAAAATAAATTTAGTTACTCAATAAGAAATTTAATTACTTGACCTAATACTACTTAGAATCCCTATAACTCTCAGTTCTATGGACAATACAATTAAACTATTTAAAGTCTTACATTTGCGTCAAGTATCGTTTAGCTTTATCAAAAAGATTTACCATGTTTAAACCAAAACAACATTTAGTTAAACAGAAAAAGGAAAGAAAAAAACCCCACCAAATTATATACATTTACAGAATATATTTTCATTTATAGGGTATATGCACAGTTAGTGTTTCTTCCCATACAGATAAACTTCCGGTGAATGTTTAATGTGACTTTTTTATTTTTAATTTACACAGTTCCTTTTACAGCATCGACATTGCAATGTAATTACAATGTAATCAGTTGAACAAACCTCAACTTTCACTTAATTGCTAAAGCCGTTTACACGCATGCACCCGTCAGGATCAGCAGGTGAGAGCAGAAATTCTATGAAAAATACTAGGGTAAAATATATGTTCATATTTTAAAACACTGTGTGGAAAAATGCAATTTAATGCAGTGCTTCTTGTATGTTCGGAGACCCACCTTATATCGTATATCACTCAGGCAGTGAAGATCACTGATTTTTAAAAAAAAAAACAGACCTTAAACATGCTGATTTTGTAAAGGCATACAGCTCACAAGAAGCCTTCGATGCAGGTTACTGACCAGGTTCCTTCTGTATATACTCTATTAATTATTGATTTATTCTCATTTTCTCATTACTTCTTAAGCATGTTGATTTATCTGATAAATGTAACCCTCTTTAGATAAAACAATATAATTATTCTACAAAATATATAAAATACATTAGTATAACAATATACAATTACAAATTTCTGAATTGATATTTGTAGAACTGTTGATTTTTATTTTTTACAAAATGTAATGCTAGTAGATTATACATAAATGTAAGTTACTTAAAAATAAACAGTGATGCTCTTTTTCAGTGGATAAGTAATTTAATTACAGTATAATATATATATATATATATATATATATATATATATATATATATATATATATATATATATATATATATATATTATTTGTACATATACTATATTCATATTTGTGCATATACATTAGATTAGTCAGTACTGAAGCCAAATCTAGAGCTTATTTAATAAAATAACTCCAAAAACTAGTACTCCCAAATGTATATGTTATAGAAAAATATTTTATACAAATTTTAAAAAGAGGAAAAGTTAAAAGATATATTGCTTGTATATTTTGTTTGAATTTAATTGTATTATCTATCAATTTCTAAATATGTTTGGTCACTAAAATCTAGTTTTATTAAATATATCTGTTTAATAATCTGTTTTGTTAAAATGCACCAAATTATATAGAGAAATGCATATATATATATATATATATATATATATATATATATATATATATTTTTTTTTTTTTTTTTTTTTTTTTTTTTTAATCATGATTATTTTTATGACTTATGTAGTGATAAAAAATACTCTTAAAATCAAAGATAAAAAAAACATCAACAATATTATTAAACTTGACTTCAAAAATTCTGCAAATTTCTGCAAAACAATGCCTTATTGGCATACTGAAACATTTACTATACTAATCCCCAACATTGTCTTGACTTAACATCACTATCAAATCATTTACATTGTCATACCTGATTGCAAATATTACTACATAGGCTGTTCTTCACATTGATTATGCTAGCTGTAATCATAGCACACTAAACAAGCTGTCATCTGCCTGGCGCACGAATCTGACCGGCTCAAAATGAATTCTAAATGTTTACTACTACCATCTGCTGTTCATACGGAGGAATATGATTTTCCCTCCCTTCTTCAGAACCATGTGCTTCTATATCCAAGTTAAGGTAACCGTAGCACATTTTCCTGTTCCACTCACCCCGAATCATTTGTAGTTAATTCAGGAACAGGTGATATATCACATCTCTGCATTTAATCAAGCATAATAAATGGCTCTAAGCTGATCGTTAACACTCATTTAGCAAACACCCCCTCTCTCGTCTTATAGTCCTCCTTTAACACAATAAAGGATATTTAACTCTACACTTTAAAGCTGTTTTGGAGCCATTTTAGTTGTTGTTGCTAAGGATACGCTGTCACCATGGCAGTAAAATCATCTGTGATACTAATATATCAGTGCGTTTTGTGCCTGAAGTAGACCGTGGGGGAAATAAAGCCACGGAGAATCAGAGAATTCTTGTGATTTATCTTTTATAGCGCAGGCCATCCGGTCAGGAATGACAATGCATTCAGGTCAATATGTCAGTCTTCTCTATATAGAAGGCATAGATTAAGAATGCTCAAGGTTAGGCCACAGTCAACACATGCTAATTGTGTTGAGTATGTTAGTTGTGTGTTATGCACAGATAAACTGAAGTTTAATAGCTTGGCAGTATATATATATATATATTTTGTAAATAAATTGGTCAGGGTGACACAGTGGCTCAGTGGTTAGCACTGTCACCACACTGAAAGAAAGTTGCTGGTTCAAACCCCAGCTTGGTCAGTTGGCTTTTCTGTGTATCTGTTTCCTAAATGGTAGCATATATTTTTCATCTAATTTAAATCTAATAAAGCTTACTGGATCTTCTTAGTACTTCTTTTTCTTTTTTAGTTTCAGACTTCAGAGAGAGATTTTTCTTCATTTTAAACCGACTATTAACCTGCATCAATTCTTTTTTTTTTTCCCTCATGTTTTTTGTCCTCCCAGGGTCTCTCGTGAATGTTTAAGCGGTGGGGTTCTGACCATCAAACCTTCTCTGCAACCTATTTGTGATTGATTAACCGCCATTCAGCGTTCACACCAGAGGAGAGAAAAGTGAATGAGAGAGAAGGAGTTTGCATCCAGTGCGGTCTTGTAATCAGCGACAGGTAAAAGAAGCTATATTTAGCAGCAATCACACGTCACATCAATCATCGATGATGCTTTCAAATGCAGCTATTATGGAGCATTATTATTATTACTGTTATTATACTAATCAAGCATTTCTTCAACCAATGATTTGATGTTTTGACTTATTTTTATAGGCTAATAATCAAATAATTAAAATATCTATCTATCTATCTATCTATCTATCATCTATCTGTCATCTCTCTGGTTGTCTGTCTATACCATTTCTACATATTTTGTTCATTAAAATTTCAGTTTTAAGTTTAATTTACTAAAATGTAAACATGTTTCAACTTATTTTTTTAAGTTTTGTATTTTAACTTATTGTTTTAAGTCAGTTTAATGTAAGTCAAAATTACTTTTATGGTTGGTTTGATTTTTTTTTAGGACAATTGCATTTATCTTATTTCCCACTGAATTCCTAAATTCTCCCTAATATTTTAAGACTATTATTGTATATGCATAATGAAATAACCTTTTCATACTTTCTGAAAGAGTAAACTATAACACAACCCAGGCTCATTCTGATTACGTAGCCCTATATACTTTTCTGGAGAGCATCAAATACGTCCCAGGAGCTACGTTTTTTGCAGTTGTTGTTTTCTCGAATCCATCAGAGGCAGCGGTGTGCGCTTTTTCAGATCTCAAATTTCTCTCGCGAGTTCCACATTAATCCTCCAGAGGCCGCTGTCACCCTTCCCTAAACCCAACCATTAGTGTTTTAAAAACCTCCGATTGACGAGGGCCCACCCACTTTCCTAAACATAACTGACAGTGTTTTTAAAAGCGGTCCAGAAAAAGAAAAGCCCTCGCGACTTCCTGATTTTTACCATGTTTCCAGATTTTACTGAATACTGATTTTACTTTTATCTTTGTCTTGGCTGCTTTCTGGAATCAATCTTCGCAGGACTCGAACCCCAGCGTCACAGTCAACTCCGCTCTGTCTCAAATCCTCCAACATAAGCAACGAGCCACTGGACAACTAGTAACAGCGGAAAAGCCGCCCATGCAGAGGTAAGTGCGAAAAGGAACGGTGTCATACAGCCTCATAACGTTCATTTTACTGAGGAAATGCAGCCATACAGTCCTCTGGCTACATAATTTCTGTTCTCCAAAAATGTATACAGGGCTACGTTTTCAGAACAAGCCTGTGTTGCTATTACAGCATGAGGGGAAATGATGCACAAAACATCATAAAGGAAATCAGGAGGTTTTTTTTTTGTTTATTTTTTATCAACCCTCGGGACATTAAAGTGCTTGAAGATGAAGGAGCGTTCAATTAGATACACTGCAGTATGATTGAAGTCTTTTAAAGCAATTTATTTTGCTCTTTTTTTTTTCTTGCACAGTTTATTTAAATAAACGTTATTTAAAAGCCTCGCTTTTAGCATTAAATCAGCATTTTTGACATACTAAAAACATAAGGTATGCCTGAGTGAATGTGTTTTATCCCAGAACATCACCCAAGCAGAAAATGAGAAAACGTTTTATACTTTCTCAAATCGTACAAATGAAACAATAATGCAGGCCATCTGTTGCCAACATCAAATCAGTGAAAAAAACAAAACACAATGACCTTTTTCTGATGTCACAAGCAGCATATGCCAGCTAAAGGCATGTGTGAATTCTGGCAACTTAATAAACGACAGAATTACTACAATACAGCACTAAATACTGCACATGTATTCCTGAGGATTTACTCACCGGGACAACATATGGCACAATCAGTGTAGTCAGAATGAAAAAAAGACATTGGGAAAATAAGACAAACGAATACAGTGACTGTAATTTTGATTTTGAATCCACCCATGAATGCAATCTGCAGCTACCTTGCGGGATTTTTTTTTTCTGTCTCCGCTCTTAGTAAATCCAGGAAAAAAAAAGATATTTCCCTGCCTAAGTCCTGTGGAGTGTCAGGCAGGATATTGGTGAAGTGGCTTAACATCTTGCGCTTACGTTTCTCTCCAAACTTGTCGAGCAGCTTCAGATGTAGTCGTGCTCAGAGGAAGTGGTCTGAAGGATTACTGTCGGGGCGTAAAAGAGGCAATTAATCACAGTTTCGGAAAAACCGCCATATACAGTGGAACTTCAAGGACTCGTGGATTCTTTTCATAAGATGATCCAGTAGTCGCTAATTTGTGCCGAGTGGGCAGAGGGAGAGAGATGGAAAAACTTTTTTTAAAAACATGTTTGTGCTAAAGATATGTGACTAATTGAAATATCTCGAGCCGTGCCATCTATAGCTTGTGAAAATGATCTACAAGTGTTGCCTCAGACATTTTATTAAAGTGATAATTCACCCTAAAATGAAAATCTACTCTATTTACTCTCCCTCAAGTGGTTATAAACCTTCTCTCATGAACTCGTTCTTCTGTTGAACACAAAAGATGACATTCTGAAGAAAGCTGAAAACCTGTAACCATTGACTTTCATTGTAGGGAAAAACAAACACTATGGAAGCCAGTGGTTACAGGGTTCCAGCTTTCTTCAAAATATCTTCTTCAAGGAAGTGCTTTCCATAGGTGGTTTCCCAAAACAAAATATAAAACTACATAACCCTGTGTGAAAAAGTATTTGCCCCTTAATCTAATAACTGGTTTGGCCACCCTTATCAGAAACAACTGCAATCATTAATTTTTGATAACTTGCTATAAGTCTGTTACAGTGCTGTAGAGAAATTTTGGCCTGCTCATCTTTGCATAATTGTTGTAATTCAGCCACATTGGAGGGTTTTCAAGCATTAACAGCCTTTTTTTTATTGAGGTCATGTCACAGCATCTCAATCAGATTTAGGTCAGGACTAGGCCACTCCAAAGACTTTTCCTTTCTTTAGCCATTCAGAATTGGACTTGCTGGTGTGCTTTAGATCAGGGGTTCCCAAACTTTGCAGCCCACGACCCTTAAAATAAAAATTCCAGTGACTCGCGACCACCAATATCTTCTGAGGTGGTTATAAATACAGAAACCTTGCATGCAATTGCACATACACAACAAATAGACCCAAGTCTGTTCTTCGTAGATTTTTTTTTTATGTATGTCAGTGCTGTAAATGTGCCAGAAAGTTTAACCTGGTGTTATGAAATCAATCTGCTGCATCTCACGCTATTGCTGTGTCTTTAATATAATGTGATTACCCCAGGGGTCGCAATCCAATAGAACTAGTAACTATAAGCTACTATAGTAACTATATACAGTAGTATATTGAACTTATAAACAACATTTTTTTTCCTTTCAGTAGGTTATGGATAAAATATGGTAATTATGGTTTAATAAAAATAAATAGATTTTTGGAAATCACCAGGCGACCCCCCTTCATTGTCCCGCGACCCCTTGGGGGGTCCCGACCCCCACTTTGAGAAGCACTGCTTTAGATCACTGTCCTGCTGCAGAACCCAAGTTTACTTCAGCTTGAGGTCTCTAACAGATGGCTGGACATTCTTCTTGGGGATATTTTGGTACACAGAAAAATTTATGATTTCGTTTATCAAAGCAAATCTTGCCGGTCCTGAAAGAGCAAAACAGCCCCAGACTGCCCACTACTACCATTGTGTGGTTGGTATGATGTGTAAATGGGCAATACATAGACATGTGGAGAGTTTCAAACTAACAGTTTAGACATACTTGTATAGGTTTCATTCTTTCATGTAATATCAAGTTCCACAAGTAACAAATTTGCACGCTTCCCAAACTTTTGGTTGCTGAGATCCAGCACTGCTCTCCAGCTTACGTTGGGATTTCAGTAAAAGACAGGCTTTTTTCCCTGCCTTTTCTTCATCTCTGTCAGAGTTGTCAGATTATAACCTCAAGAGTAAACGTTTGCCTATTGTGGAAATCATCGTCTTGTCTCAGAAAACTCAGCTTATTCTTACAGAGGAACTAAAATGTAGGCATAAAACATTCCCGACCTGACGGATTATTCTGCACTAAAGTTTACATATGCTGATTAACTGTAAGTAATAAATGAATAGGTTTGCTGTAGTAAATGATTAGTAAATTATTAGATAAATGATAGTAAATGAAACAGCTTTCTGAAATTAATTGTTGGATTCATGTTATTAATATTTATGTTGTTAAATTAAAATGTATTATTATTATTATTATCATGTTGTCTAGAATTTAGAAAAATTCAACTTACTAAAACATTTAAATAATGCTTATTTGGTTGGATGAACTAGCTTTTATATATATATATATATATATATGGAACAAAATATACTGTCTTAAATGTAGATTTAGTTTAATCTAATTAAATCTTTTGTTTATTTATTATAATTTGTTAACATTTTATTTATTTATTTTTTATTTATTTACAGATCCAAGTAACTTCTTACTTTATTTGTATGTATAGCAGCAGGTTTGGAACAATACTGTCTCAAGTTTTGTCATTTTTGTCATTGTCATGTCTTAAGTGAAATATTTTACTTACAAATGAAATCAGAAAAACAACTGGCTCTATTTATTTTTACAATGAATTTTTTAATTAGTTGTATTAATTTATTTATTTATTTATTTATTTATTTATTTATTTATTTATATAGATCCAAGTTACAATATACTGACTTTATTTGTATATCTAGCTGCAGGATTGGACCAATATACAGCTGAAGTCAAAATTACTATTATTAAAATTATTCACCCTCATGTGATTTTTTTTTTCCTTTTCCAAATAGATGTTTCCCAAATGATGTCTATTTTAAATATAAATATTTTTAGATTTTCTACACAACAAACCAATGTTATGATTTGCCTATAATTACCCTAACTTTCAGCATTTAAATGTCACTTTAAGCTGAATACTAGTATCTTGAAAAGTATCTAGTCAAATATTATGTGCTGTCATCATGGCAAAGATGAAAGAAATCAGTTATTAGAAATGAGTTATTAAAACTATTGTGTTTAGAAATGTGTTGAAAAGAAACGTTTTTCCTTTAAACAGAAATTGGTGACAAAATACAACAGGGGGCTAATAATTCTGACTTCAACTGAATACTGAAAAATGGGTTCTTTGATAGAGGAGAAATTCACATATGTAATTCTGTGAACCTGCATCTCATATATTATGAGCGCGTGTATTACACTGTATGTCCATCAGCTCTGACAGCCCAGAATATCCGTCAGAAACGTTTCCCCTGCACCAATCAGAAAGCACCAGAAATGCACAGACAAATACAAATGCAGTTGTACAGCTTACCTTCGCCAGTACAGGTCTGTGTGATTGGTGGTGGCACAGCCGAGGCTTTTCCCTCAGGTCCTGCTTTTACAGTTCTCTGTGCCCTACTGTCATGCTGGATCTGTGCTTCAGTAACGCCTGACACAAGCGGAAGGGGAGAAGCAGTTTTACACTCTTTAATGACTCATGAAGTTTCCTAGTCTCAGCCTTTCCCCTTCCACTTGTAAACATACAGTTGAGGTCAGAATTATTAACTCTCTTTTTTTCTTTTTTAAATATTTCGCAAATAATGTTCAACAGAGCAAGGAAATTTTCACAGTATTTCCTATAATGTTTTTTCCTCTGGAGAAAGTCTTATTTATTTTATTTTGGCTAGAATAAAAGCAGTTTTTATTTTTTTTTAAACCATTTTCAAGGTCAATATTATTAGCCCTCTTAATCAATATTTGTTTTTCGATTGCCGACAAAACAATCCATCGTTATACAATGACTTGTCCAATTAACCTAGTTAAATGTCACTTAAAGCTAAATCTTGAGAATCATCTAGTCAAATATTATGTGCTGTTATCATGGCAAAGATAAGTCAGTTATTAGAATTATTAGTTATTAGAAATTAGTTGAAAAAGCGTGTATTCTTTCCATTAAACAGAAATTAGGGGATGGGGGCGGGGTGCAGGGAGGGCTAGTAATTCTGACTTCAACTGTAGATGTAATTTATTTCCCCTATTTTTTTCACCTTTTAACTTCCCTGTGTTTCGATGATAAGCTTCACTGACCGGAAATGCACATAATTAGCCCATTATGAAAGGCCAGCGAGCTGATACAGTTCTGTGGCATTCAGGAC